TGGTTATTTCAAAAGAACATTCATTGTTTGGTTTTCTGGTACTTACCGCATTTGAAAAAAAGTCCATTTACTATATAGTATATAGATCAATCTATAAAAATGTTTGTCCTGATTGACTGACTAAAGTTTCATTTCCACTTTCTTATGCAATCCCAATTTATATATTTCTCCTATTAACATTGAATTCCTATACAATATATTTGCCTTGGGGACAATCCATTCAAAATTGAACGAACTGCATTTTGCTTACATCATTTCGGATTGAATTACTTTATACTTTATACTAAAGCTGCCTGATGGAAATCACATTTCATTTAATTTATAAATAAACCCTTTATGCATTTTCCATAGTTTGCGAGCTTGCACGATAAAGCACCCTCGAACCTAACCTGCGCAACACACCAGGTGCAAGCAGAGCCCCCCCGCCCTTCCACACACACCCACCTGGAGGTGTTGGGGGCTGTTAGCTCTTGTTCTTGCCATCGCTTTTAAAATTCTTCATCAGCTACAGTTACGTGCAACGCCCGCATCTAACATGTTATGTGGCAGCTGCGTGGTGGCATGGTCGACCGCCCCGGCCCTGCCGCTGGCTCTGCCTCTGCCTCTGCCTCTCATCCATGTTGGTTGCCTTTACAGTTGGTTGAATCGCTGTTTATGCAACAAGCGGCTGTGTGGCAAAGAGCTTTTCGAGCTTCGTTTTGTTTGCCAAAACTGCGTCACGTTGCAGCTTTGACGTTTCGAGTGCCAGTTGCAACTGCGGCAACTGCCAACTGCAGCTGAGATTTGCGTAAGCGAATTCGTTTCATTGTGCAACTCAACAATAAACATGCAAATTGATGTCAAAGCGTTAGCTGCGTGGAGTGTACGAGACGTTGTGCATGTGGCAAGTTGGGGTCCGTGTGTGTGTGTGCGTAACTTGTTGCAGTTGCCACAGCCATGTGGCAATGCCACGTGAACAAAACCAAAGTCCTTGCCATTGGCGCATAACCTGGCCCTGGGCTCAGCTCAGCTCGACGCGGAGTCCATGAGGCGAGCAGCCTTCAGCCTGGTGCTGAGTTCTTTTCGTTGACTCAATTCCAACGTTTGTCCGACATTTGACCTTGGCTGCATATTCTGTTGCTGCTCAAACAGGGAAAATAAAGTTGTTGCAAAGGTCTGTAAGAGGCAAACGCAGACATTAAGTCTATAAATATATATACTTGTCTATCGGCTAGGCTAGCTGAATTGATAGATGCCTGAATTTCTGTAAGAATGCGCTCCTTCAGAGTATCAAATAGTCTTAGCAAGCGTGTGGTTATCGCACACATAGCTTTTGTTTATATTTTCGATAACTGTTCAATCGATAACTATCGATGTTCAACGAAACATCGATTTATATCGATATCCAACCATTTTTTTAATATGTTACAAATTATACGAGAACTAAACGCCTCAAACATGCTTAAATATAAGTTCTTATGAACGGATAACAGCAAAAACATATTTTTCTTATTAACTTTAACTGATCGATAAATTGGAGTAAAAATTAGCTCCAAGACGAACTTTTTGAGACTAGAAATGTATACCCCTAGAATAATATATACTAAATGCAATTTAAATATTAACTCTCGAATATAAATAACATCCAAAGTTGATATTTAAGAACTGAGAACATCGATAAATATCGATAACACATTTATTTTTCGTTTGAGTGTATTTTAACGATTAATTTGACGTGCAAATTTTTTTAAAACGTACACATATATAGTTTCTTGTACTTGATTGAAATGGTCCGGCATTTCGGCCCAAACTTTCTTTATTAGAGGAATACCCTTCATTTTTGGTTTAGGCGCACATTGAAGTGCTTTCTTAAAGTCCTGAACATTCAAAATATAAGATAATCAAAAGAAAATACTCTTTTACAGGGTATTTTCTCGTCCAGTCAGCCAGCTTATCTTTAGCCACTGCCCTGTTTACCTTTCGATTTCAATTTGATTTCTGTCGTATTGCTCACCTATTCCTCATCGGCTTTTGCATTATTTATTGCATTTAGTTTTCACTCGCTGCTCTGTCATAAATTTCCACTCGCAGTCAAATGTTCGTACCCCCGCACTGCGCAACACGCCCCCGCCCCCGTCCAATGGGAAGGTGGCAGCGCAGGACATTGCCGCGTCGCGTGTGTCCTTAAATGTTAGTTTTGATTACGAGTGGCGGCCACACTTTGTGTCCGGCTCTTGCACAAGCCGCTGGCCAAGTTGAACCCCAACCCTCGCCCTCCCCCGGGCACCCAAACGACCTTCAGCAGCGTTTGCCATAGAATTTTCCTTTTACCGAGCGCGCGTGGCTCCGGTTGCCTCTTTTTATGTACACATTTTTTTGTTGTTGTTGTTATTTGTTCCGTGCTTCTCGTCCCGTGCGCTATTTTTATGTCTTTCGCATTTGTATCGAATGTCCTCTGACGCAAATTAATTAAATTATGTAATGGCTGTTGAGGGGGTTGGGGAAGGGGTGTGGGTGTCTGTAGGCAACAGCAGGTGCTGTGGGCGGTCAATTCTATTTAACCGGTTCTAAATTTAGTCGCAACTAACAAAAGTTAACGACGACAATTATGGCGGAAAAGTGATGCCAAGAAAAAGGCCAACCCCCTTTTTCTAGGAACTCCCAAAGCTTGGGACAGCGGGTGGGCAACTAATTAGCAGCTACATTCCAATTAATTGTGAAATATTGACTGAACTCTGACCTATAATATGTTATGACGACCTTCTCCATTCATAATCAATTGTCCAGAGCTCGCTCGATAATTAGAATTTGCGGAAATTCCAATAGTTGGGAAATTGAGTTCTTCGACATGCTTAAGGCATGCGACGTCTTTTATCTAAGATTTTATTTAAACATAAACTGTCGACTAGTAAAATTTAATGAAGATATTCTAAAGAAGTCATATAAAAATTATAAATGTGTGTGTGTGTGTGTGTGTGTGTGTCTGTGGACGTGTGTGTGTTAGTCTATGCATGCATGTAAGTATGTATATATATATGCATGCATGCATGTATGCATTTATGCATGTAACATATGTATGCACGAATTTCTACCAAGTGCTCTACTCCTCGATTCTCAAGAATTCAAGTGGGCTCTGCTGTTTTTCAAGCTTAGCTACTTAGTAGTGTAGTGTTTTTTGTTGCCTCTTCTTTTTTTTTTTATGTATGTACATATGTATGCATGTATACTTGTGTACATAAATATGTGTGTATACATGTAGGTACATATGTATGTATAAATGTTGGTACATATGTATGTATACATTTAGGTACATATGTATATGTGAATGTATGTGCATATGTATGTTTTTATGTATGTATGTATATGCACACAAACAATATATGTGTACATGCATAGATTAATATACGCAAAAACTCATACATACACTCATACATCCATGCATATAATTGTAATCTTTTTGTAACACTTATCTAGCTATTGCCAGTTCCTCATGCTCCTATGTGAAAGTATTCACAAATTCCGATACTTTACGCCATATATCTGCTTTAGGCTCAATCAGAGTTGGCTGAGCCTCATCTACTCTGTTGAATTTGTGTTTACCGCTTGTGTATACCTCCATAAGTATACCCAAGTATGCCTAGATTTAGCAATTCAGTCGTCTCATAACGGGTTTTTTTACACTAAACAAAGTTAGCGCATTCTCAAATTTATATATATGTATATATATTCGTATATATATGTATATATATAGCGTTCGTACCTGTATAAAAACATGATGACTCTCGGATATCTACAACAATGGTCCATCATCTGCGTCGGTAAATATTCAATGTATATCTATATGCATATATATATATATATTTATATAAAAATATATATGTATGTGTATATGTCAGCTTCCTTATTGCAAATGCATTGTGTGTTGTTTTTGTTGTTGCTATTGATGTTATTATTGTAAATGTGCCTGTTCACGTGTTGTTCGCTTCGTTATACCCATTCACATAGTGAAAGAGGGTATATTGGCTTTGTGCTATGCCCATTTGTTTCAACGCTTCGTTCTCGAAAAAGCGCACAAAAGCTAGAGACTTGCAATTGGGTATATGTAGTCATGTATATGTATGCATCAGAGCTTGAAATATTTGATGAAACTAGTGCATCTTTGGAAGAATATAATTTCCTTTTTTGATACTCCCCCATTTTCGTAAATTGATTTTGAGACTTGGTTCTTTGGCCATAACTCGAGGACTATACGAGCTCCAGACAACAAATTTGGTATTCAGCTTTTTCTAAAGTATTTACACATAAAAATATATAACTTCTTGGATAACTCTCCATATTACCCGAGGTCGGGCGCGTATTACGCAGTCGTTTGCACCCGATTGAAATACTCGGAACTTGTTTTAATTATAATTATTGTGACTTGTCAGCCATTTGCGACTGTTTTGAATTGGCCAAAATGCGCGTTGCGATTTGTTGTTGTTGTTGTTGTTGTTGTTGTCAGCGCTTTCTTTGTCAGGGGCGTTGACAAGACGCCGCTGAGACATATATGTGCATATATATTTATATATATATAGATCTATATCTAGATCTGATGCATCAGCGACATTTGCCGATTCCGCGAGCTGCTTTCGGTCGCATTGTAAAATTGCCTGAGCTGTTGCACGGTTGCGCAGCCTTAGGAGAATTTTTTAACTAGTCAAGAAATTTGAACAACAAAATGTTAGCCTCAGTTATACGGCGTTTGCTAAAAAGAGGTGACTAGAAAAATAAAAAAAATAAAATAAATAAAGAAATGAAAAAACATAAATAAAAAAGAAAAAAAAAATAAATTAAAAAAAAAAATAAATTGAATATAAATAAAAGTTATAAAAATAAATATAACAAAAATTTGTAAAATATTTAATAAAAAAATATATTAACAAATATAAATTAAAAGAATAAAGTATAAATAAAATAAATAAGTATATAATCATAGAAATCTTAAACTAACATTTTGTCTCTTCTCATTGTTGCCTTTGCAGATTGCGATTGCGGCTGCGTGGACTCGTACAACGGCGGCAGCGTTGAGTTGCGGCACGGCCAGGTACAGGCAGCGGCAGCAGTGGCAGCAGCAGCAGCGGCAGCCTCCGCTCAGAGCTTTGTGATCAGCAGCAGCAGCAGCAGCAGCCACAACAGCAACAGCATCAGCCTCAGCCTCAAGACGGCGCACGCAAAGGTTGCCACATCGGGGGGGCATGCCAATACGCAGCCCCCCAGCAAACGTTCCAGCAGCGGCGCCGACGGCGACTATCAGCTGGTGCAGCACGAGGTGCTCTATTCGCTCTCCGCCGAATATGAGGTAAATACTTGTGTACTCATCATTTAACCCAAACCGGACTGAACCCCCCTTTTCTGGCTCTCTCTTTTGCAGGTTCTGGAGTTTTTGGGCCGCGGCACCTTTGGTCAGGTGGTCAAGTGCTGGAAACGCGGCACCTCCGAAATTGTTGCCATTAAGATTTTGAAAAATCATCCCTCCTATGCACGCCAGGGTCAGATTGAGGTCTCGATACTCTCGCGGCTCAGTCAGGAGAATGCGGATGAGTTCAATTTTGTGCGCGCCTTCGAGTGCTTTCAGCACAAGAATCACACCTGCCTGGTCTTTGAGATGCTCGAGCAGAATCTCTATGATTTTCTCAAGCAAAACAAATTTTCACCGCTGCCGCTCAAGTACATACGTCCCATACTGGAGCAGGTGAGTCTCGATGGAGAGAGGAGTAAGCAATTAATTAAAATTCTTTAATAATTCCCTCTCTCTCTCTTTTTCTCTCTCTCTCTTTCAGGTGCTGACTGCCCTGTTGAAGCTGAAGCAACTGGGGCTGATTCACGCCGATCTGAAGCCGGAGAACATAATGCTTGTGGATCCGGTGCGTCAGCCGTATCGCGTCAAGGTAATCGATTTTGGCAGCGCCTCGCATGTGAGCAAAACTGTTTGCAATACGTATCTGCAATCGCGCTATTATCGCGCACCCGAGATCATATTGGGTTTGCCGTTCTGTGAGGCCATCGATATGTGGTCGCTGGGCTGTGTTGTGGCCGAGCTCTTTCTGGGCTGGCCCCTGTATCCGGGCAGCTCGGAGTTCGATCAGATACGCTATATATCACAGACACAGGGTCTGCCCACAGAGCATATGCTGAATAGCGCCTCGAAGACATCGAAATTCTTTTATCGTGACGTCGACTCGACGTATCCATTTTGGCGCCTTAAGACCACCGAAGAGCATGAGGCGGAAACGAACACCAAGAGCAAGGAGGCACGCAAATATATCTTCAATTGTCTGGATGATATTGGCCAGGTGAATGTGCCCACGGATTTGGAGGGTGGCCAATTGTTGGCCGAGAAAACGGATCGTCGTGAATTCATAGATCTACTGAAGCGCATGCTGACCATAGATCAGGAGCGACGTTTGACACCAACCGAGGCACTGAATCACAGCTTCACGAGGCTCACCCACCTGGTCGACTATGTCTATTGCAACAATGTGAAGGCCTCTGTCCAAATGATGGAGGTCTGTCGTCGCGGCGATTTCCATACGTGAGTAGAGACAACTGCCAGCTTGAAAGGGTTTATCTATTATACATAATACTCTGTATGTTTTTTTCTTGACGCAGCGTACAACCAGCTCCCACGCTGGTCACCAATTTCGTGCCCAGCAGCACCGAGAACATGACCTTTACGATCAACAATCAGCTGACCAGTCAGGTGCAGCGCCTCGTGCGCGATGGTCGTCCTTTGGCCTACGAGGGTCTCTATCAAATCTACGGCGGACGCAATGTGGCACGGCAGTATCCACAGGCGCGCACCGACACGTTCCAGCATCAGCTGGTCTCCAACATACTCTGTCCGCCCTCGTATCAGGCCATGCCCAGTCCCACCAAGCATGTGGTGGCCACAATGCAGCCGCCGTTGCAGGTGCCGCCCCAGCAATATGTCAATGTGCCGGTGCCCGTGTCCATGGTGGAGCCCAGCTCGGGTCAGCGTATGCTGCTCACCAATCGGGTCCAGGCAAGTGGCGTTGCCTGGCCGCAAACCGGACGTCAGATGGCATTGGTGCCATCCTGGCCGCAACAGGCGCCCGCACATTCGCTAATCGTTGACTCGACGCCGCTGTTCAATGTGGAGGAGATTTATCCCAAGCATCATCTCAATTTGCCGCGCAACGATCTCAAGAAGGAGTCGCCGGCTCATCATCTAGCGTGCGTATCCCAGCTCTACATTTAAACAAACTCTATCAAACACTAAGCCTCTACTCTACTCTACTCTACAGCAAGGGCAACTCTTATCGCGTGCCGCGTCACGAGAAGAAGGAACACCAGCAGCTGTCGCCTGTCAAGAAGCGTGTCAAGGAGAGCTCACCGCCGCATCAGCAGCGCTATCAGCGCGCCGCCCATGTCTCGCCGCAGTATCACGCCCATCACAATTGCAACTACGGAGGCGGCTATGGATCTGGCGCCGCTGGAGCCGTTGTGGCCAGCTCTGCCTCATCGGCCAGCAGTGAGTGTCTACTTATAGCTCGTAATATCCTTGCAGCGGGCGATGTGTGACCCAAAGCAGGCAACGGGGGATCTATTGTGTATAGATATGTTTGATCAGCATGAGCAGACGAGTAGATGCAGTCAAGTCTGTCTGTTTATCAGTCCAACTTGGTCTTATCGAATCTATCATAGAGTAATAGAAACAACCTGTTTAGTAGATAGCTTCTATAGGAACAATCAACCAAAAGGCAGCTTTTGTAAAATGAACTTTTATTTAACATAAACAATATGATAATCTTTTATAAAAAGAATTCTTGATTTTTTGCAAATCTTAATTTGACTGAGTGTTCACAGTGAGAAGGCATAGAGAATTAGGCTCACTTGTAGATAACTTTATTGCCTGCAAGGATATTTACTTTATTACGCTACTTGGCATTCAACTAATATATTATGTACCTTCCTATTCTAGATATTGTCAATGCCAGTGGCAGCAGCTCGTCGAGTTCGCATCATCATGCGCCCGTGGCTCATGCGCCGCACGGCAGCAGCAGCAGCAACAGCGCCTACAACACCGCTGGCCATCACATTGTCATCAACAATTGCAGTGGTGGAAGCGGCGGCGGCAGCTCCGCTGTGGGCTATCATGCCAGCGGTGGCAGCAGCAGCAGCCAGCCGCCGTTGCATGCGCATCAGCCGCAGCACGTCAAGCAGCCGACAATTACCATACATGACACGCCATCGCCGACTGCGGTTGTGGGCGATGTGATTACCATTTCGGACAGCGAGGATGAGGGCGGCGATCTACCGCCAAACAGCGCCACAGTCGCGCCCATCAAGCAGCGCGCGCACGCCCAATCGCAGACCAGCAGCAGCCTAATGCAGCAGCAGCAGCAGCAACACCAACATCAACAGCAGCAACATCAGCAGCAACAGCAGCAGCAGCAACAACAGCAGCAGCACTCGGCGAGCAATTCGAGCAGCAATCTGCATTGCCGCAGCAGCGGACAGCCGTTGCATGTGCAACATCAGGCCGTTAATTATGGTAATGCACACAGTTCCAACAACAACAACAGCTCCGCGAATGCCACCAGCAGCGGCAGCAGCAGCAGCAGCAGCAGTCAACGTTTGGTCAGCAAATGTAACAGCCAGCTGGGCGGCAGTAGCGGAGCTAGTCATCATAGCCATCATAGTCACCATAGTCACCACAACAACAACAACAACAGCAGCAACCATCAACAACAGCAGCAACATCACGGCGGCAGCAACGGCAACGGCAACAGTAGCTCTAGCAGTAGCAGTAATATTAACAGTAGCAGTAACAGTCAGCAGTTGCCGCCGCCGCCGTTGCCGCTGCCCCATCATAGTAGCAGTAGCAGTAGCAGTAGCAGTAACAGTAGCAATAATCATCATCATCATCATCATCAACAACAACAACAACAACATGCAGCCTCGCTGGGCGGAAGCGGAAGTGGAAATGGAAATGGCAATGGAAATGGCTTTGCTGCAGCTGTCCTAGACAACAACTGTGCGCTGCAGGCAACACAGCAACAGCAGCAGCAGCAACAACAGCAACAACAACAGCAGCAGCAGCAGCAACAACAGCAGCAGCAACTACAACAGCAGCAGCAGCAGCAGACCTGCTTTCAGCCTAGCTCCCACAACAACAGTCATCACAACACCACTTCCAATTCTGCTTCCACTTCCAACCAACAACAACCACCACCACCACAACCATTATCACAACCCACCCATCACCATAACCATCATAGTCTACAGCTTAATCCCGCACCCGTATCCATAAATAGCACACAATTTGGCAACAGCTCCGCCTCCTCATCCGCCTCCATATCCACATCCACCTCTGGCCTTTGCCTTAATCAGCATAATGTACCCTTACCCATACCCGTTCCTTTAGCTGTGCCCGCCTCCGTTTCCTCCGCCCTTGCCTCGACCACGTCTCAGTCGCATCTCAGTCGTCATAAGTCAACGCAACAACAACACGTCCATCTAGTAATTCCATGCGTTACCGTAGGTGATCACGATCCGGAGGATGCGCGACGACGTCATCATGCCGCCGCAGCCGCCGCCCTGGCCGTGCCCAGTCCCAAGCATCATCATCACCAGCAGCAGCCGCAGCAGCAGCAGCAACAACAACATCATCATCACCAGCAGGTGCAGGTGCAGCCGGCACAGCAGACGCCGCACTATCAGCCACAGCCGCCGCCGCCGCAAGCCCAAGCGCAGCACCAGCCACAGCAGCAGCAGCAGCCCAGCATCAAATACGAGCCGGGGCAATCGCAGAAGAAGCGCATTCTGGCCATGGCCCAAAGCGAGTGCAACTATCAGCCGCAGCCGCAGGTGCAGATACAGGTGCAACAGCAGCAGGCACCGCCGCCGCCCGTTACCAGTCTGCCGCATATTCCAACCAAACAGGAGCCGCCAGAATTCTACTCGGACTACGCGCCACAGCAGCAGCAACAGCCGCCACAGCAACAGCTGCAACTGGAGACCAAGCGCAGCTCCTGGGCAGCCGGCTCCAGTGGCGCAGCTATGCCGCTGGCACATCCGAAGCGCGAAGCGCCCTCCGTTGCGCCCGTCAGCTATGTGACGCCCACTGTGGCTCCGCCGCTGGCCCACTCGAAGAGCAGCTCGAGCAGCTCCTCGTCGATAAGCGCCGCGGCCGCCGCAGCGGCTGCAGCTGCTGCTGCTGCCGCCAGTGTCGGTCCGCCGTCGTGGGGCGCACCGCAGGTCTATCGCCAGCCATCGCAGCCGCCACCAACATCGGCAGCTGCTGCTGCTGGCCAGCCGCCAGCTGGGCCACCGCATCATCATCATGGCAGCCACAGTCATCATCATCATCACCAGGCGGGCACGCCGCTGGGCGGCTCACCCTCATCGACGGCCGCTGCGGCCATGTTGCAGACGGACATTTACGCACAGGGCGACATGTATCGACGTCCCACGGTCTACGTATCCCAGGCCGCGCCCACATACGCCTATGCGAATCGCACGGTGGTTGCGCCACCGCCAGCACACAACAGTTCCAGTCGACAGGTGGGTGAAGAAATTAAAAAATTGCTCATTACATTCAATATGCTTTTTAATTTGTTTGTTAAGTGCCTTTAATTACCTACGAATTTATATTTAATTACAATTTATATTTAGTAAAAATTGAAAGTAATTCAAATGTAATTAATGTAGTTTTTTCAACATTGTTGACAATCTTTAAATCCATTCAATTTGCCAATTCCTTGTCCTTAAGTAACTACATACAAAATATTTAATTACTCCCAATATATATTTAATTACTAAAGAATGAAAAGTAATTAAAAAGGATTTAATGTAGTTTTTTTAAATACATCAATTATTGATATTTAATTACTCATAAGATTTCCAGTAATTAAATTGGTTTTTATTTACTTAAAAATGGCAAGTAATTAATACTTACTAAATATTTAATTACTTATAATTAGATATAACATTCCATTTTAAATACGTAAGTAATTAAAAGTATTTAACATTTTTTTAATTTAAAATTTCTTATCAATAGATTAATTTCTTTTATTATTATATTACACTCAAGTTAAATCTCAGATTATTCATTAATAATTAATTATTTAACCAGTGTATAAATTTATATTTATATTCAAGTACTTTATACACCTTGAAAAGATCTTACTCCGATTATTTTTATTGTTGATCCAATTGAAATTTGTTCTCGTTCGCACTCTCAGGTCATACCATCCCATCCGTTGCCGGCTCACATACAGATCCCGACACAGTACAGCCAATTTGGACCATTGAGTCCCGCCCAGGTAGCTGCCAGCAAACATGCAGCGCACTTTGCGCCCACCAACATATGGTATGGAGCTGAGTAGCTTGCAGGGTGAACGAACGAGGGTTGACGAGGATCCCGGATCCCAGAGGCCACCATTGACCAGAACACAGCAACAACTACAACACAGTCTCTCCCATCCCCAAAAAAAAAAAAACAAAAACAAAAAACAACCATCATCACCACTCTCCACATAGCCCAGAACTTGATAACATGATTGATTGATTGATTGATGCTCTCGAGTGAGTCGAAAATGCCAGATTTATGGCCATACAAAGTGTGGCCCATTTGAACTGGTTTTATGTGCTAGCTAACAAGAGAACGGCTTAACTAATCATATGCTTCTTATACTTGCGCTACTTTAGATCTTATATGGCCTCGGCTGATGGCGACGACGCCGACGATGACGACGACAACAGCAGCAGCTGCAACGGCAACACGGAGGAGCAGCAGTTGCAACAGTTGCAGTTGACGCAATGCTGGTGGTTTATGCTGCTCATGCAGCAGAGCATCATACAGCACAACAGCAACACGTTGCACGAAACAACAGCTGCAACAACCACAACAACAACAACAACAACAACAACAACTAGAACTACAACAACTACAACAACAACAGCCAACACAAGTGTTGCACGCAGCAGTCGCCGCAAACGTTAAAAAAAAAAGAAAACAAAAGAAACACCTGTCCGCACCAAACCCGCCCACCAGTTACAGTTGTTTGTTTTTCATATTCTGCTTTTATTTTAATTTCACCAACATTTTGAAGATTGTCGATTGTTCCGTAATTCCATGGCGAATTATGATTAAATAATTAATTAATTTTTTTTTCTGTTTTAAATAAAAATGTCAAGCATTTTCTACACGCAGTTTGGAGTGTAAAGTGCATAGTTTAAACACACACACACACATGTAATTAACACACACACACATACAGACTTTGTAAACTGTAAAGAAAAACAAGCGTAAACATTTTCCAAAGCGAAAATTGTTAGCCTCATTTTCTCTTTAAAAAAACAAAAAACTAAAGCGTTTCACTATGTGTGTTGTATATTTTTTATTAGAACTTCTAAGTAATACACTGCATATGTATATGTATATGCATATGTATATATATATACATGTGCCTAAGTACATAACACTACGATAAATATGTATTCTATATATTATGATACGTCTAAGAACCACATGCATACATATATATGTAAAACTACAACTAAAACTAAACCTAATCTAAATCTAAATATTATAAATACTATTACACAAAAAAAAAGAAAAACACACACTCACACACAAGCATGAAACTAATGCAACATTATAAAATTTAATGCAAAAATAATGTTTCTGTGCGTTCAGAAAACAAAAGCAACAACAAAAATACTTAGTGCAAAAAGGCATAGTAACATTTTTTAGACTCTTTTTAGCAAGTACCTCAAAATATTTAATTAAAACGCAACACCAACACGAAGCAGCAGCAGCAGCAACAACAACAAAAACAACAACAACAAAGCAAAAGCAAAACAAAACATATATTGATGCGAAAATTGCCTTTTACAACAACAAAACAAACGAATATGCAAAAGTAATAACAAAATATTGTAAACAAAGCAAAAACAAAACAAAAAGAAAAAACAACTTTAGTGAGATAATCATAAAACTACAAAATGATATATGATACCGCAAAAACCTTACTAGCAATCAAAGCATACATATATATATATATATACGTACATATATATATATATATATATATATATATATATATATATATATATATAACAATATTGTAGGTAAACCTAGCGATAACCGAAATAACTGATAACTGAACATGCGATATATTCTAGCTAATATAAACATAGACATACGGTTTTTTTTTTTATAAATATTATTATGTTTTTAACCAACACTCACACACACACATAAAATACACTCTCATAGAACTTAAAAAGGTTAAGCCGACCCACAAATAGATATACGTATAGCTGGGGCTTTGTACAAAACAAAAGAAAAAAGAGAAGGAACATAACAAATTAGATGCATTGTATTTAGCAATTACTTGAAAAATATATATAAATAATGGATTTTAAAAATTGAGATCAGGTAACAGGTCAGTGTTGGAAAACACCAAGCAAAAGCTTGCTTAGATACACACACACACACACACCCAGAACTCTGCTCTTTTAATTTGTGTAGCCCACTTTTTGATATTTCAAACTTGTTTCTAAAAGTTCGATTGTTTTGTTCGTGCTTCGATCGAGAACCCAAACCCAACTAATAAGAATGTTTACTAAAGTACAAAACGGCAAGCAATCTAGCTATAATAATTGAACACTGATAAAACATCTTTTAAATATGTTTCTAATTTCTAATTTAGTTTTATTCGTATTCGTGTATGTCTATTATTTTAAATTCGAACTCACTTTTAATATGTTTAACGCAGAGATTTGGTTTCTTGTCTTTAGTGTTAGTGTATAAAAAATGAACACCATTTTGTTTTTGGATTGTTTCAAGAGTACTTTATGCTATATACATGTATACTCTCATATATATATGCTATACAGACAATTATGATACTATCTACCTATGCGCATATATAAAGTTCTTGTTAATTAGGTTTCTTACAAGTATTTTGTAGTTAGTCGTAACTTTGTCGCTATTTGTATACCCCCTTATTTTTTTTGTAACAACTAAGTTGTGGGCACTTCCTATTATGATACTAAAAGATATATATATATATATATATCATAGAAATCCCAACACACATTTTTCAACGTAGCCAGTTTTCAATGGTTTACAGCGAATCGCGTTTTATTATTAAAAATTAATTAAATTTTAATTATCGAAATTATGATTATACGCATGAATATATATCTATATATATATATATATATGATAATTAATCAGCTGTGCACGAAATAATTGTAACGAAACAACAACAAATTTAAATATACATACATATATATTTATATATATATTGCAATCTGCAACAAGAAATGCAGATACACAGATCTATTTGAAAGTCTAGCATATAATTATTGTGATGTAGTTTTTAAAATCGATGCAAATACAAATTGATGCAACAACAACAACAACAACAAAATGCGTGTCGTCGGAAATTTTGTCCTTGTCGTAATTAGCCAGTAACGAAATTAACAAATACAAATTACAAATTACTTATTAATTGATTATGCATAATCCATACGGGCATACATATATATATATCTATATATAAATACATATATTATGAATATTAAATAATACAAATTAATGTTAACTATTTAGTACGCAAAACAAAACAAATGACTAAGCAAAAAGGCAACAATATAAAATATATATATATATATATATATATATATATATATATATATATTTAATTTGTATTCTGTACTTTTTTTAATTTAAAAAAATTCCTTTTGTCGACAAAATAATATCAACTTTTTTGTGTAGAAAACTAATGGAACGTTTGATTAGCAGCTGTAGGCGTTAAATAAGAGAACGTTAGTGTTGTGACTATATACGATAAATCGTGCATACATACATATATATATACGCTATCCGATAACTAGGAGATCTAGCTGATAGTCGATGCTCCGATGTTTGGCACACATATATATCTCTATATATATATACTATTTTGTGCATAAAAAACAACAACAACAACGGCAACAAGAAATGTTAGTTAGTCAAAAGCAGCTGCTGCATGTGGCATGCCTCATGCGTGGCACGTGTTAGCCAGCTTTTCATTTCTTGTGTTTTTTTTTTCAATTTTTCATTGTTGGTTTTCTTGGAAAATGCGCGAGATGAAAGCGTTTAATTTAGCCTAGCGGCATTATAGATGTGTTTTTATAGAAATTTTATGGACCATAAATGAAAAGCAAATATCTTTAACAAAAAAACCAAGAACAACAACAAATTAAATAAAAGTCTTAAATGTAAGCGTTTTGATGTAAAAGCAATTCGTGCTTGCAAATTTGTCGTTCATTTAAATGTTTTTTTTTAAACTCTTTTGCCCACTTTCTTCTCAATATACGCATATGAACATAAAGTATATACACTATTATAATTAATTAACAATTATATCGTAACTGATAAAAGATAATAAACTTTTTCAATTTCTACTCAATGTTTTTTAGAGAAGCAACAAGCTAAAAAATCAAGAACGCTTTAAATGTAACAAAAACGAAACGTTAATAGACTTAAAATGTGAAAATACCATAAATATTAAATGAATAACAATTTATGAATAACACTCACTAAATGCAAAAAAAAAAAAAAAATACACAGACATAGACCTACATATACATATATAGTTTGTATTTAAGCGCAGAGAGTACATTTTTAAAATAAACAATGTTTTAACTGTGTAGCCTTAAAATCAATTTACAAATCAACTTTAAATACTATACGACGTATGTACTATATACATATATATATATATATATATATATATATATATATATATATATCTAAACTAAAAATATGATGACATGCGAATCGATTTCGATGTTCAACAACTACGTACAATATTTCTATGTACTTCAAAATATGTCTAAATATATTATTGATTTGCCTTTCATTTTGTATAATTCTCTTTAAATTTTACTTTTTCAATTGTATTTTAATCACACACACACACACACACACATGCACACGCATAACTTTTTATATTGTATACCATATTAAAACATAGCCACAATCCCACAACTTACTATTATCATAAATGTTTATAATATTTACATTTATTTCGTAAATGCAAAAACATAAATACATGCATATATTATTATCGAAAGCATATTTATTGTTTACGTTTTTATTTATTGTATCATTTGTTTCATTTTATTGATTTTCTTAGCAACTAGTTAAAATGAGATTGAAACTCAACAAGCTAATCAAAAGTTTAAACAAAATCAAGAAGAAAAAGAACAACAACAAATACAACATATATCCCACCAAATTAATTTTAACAATTAAATAGCTATAAAACGTAAATCAAGCGAACAAAGGGACAATTTAATAAACTAATTAACATAATAATATCGAAATATTGTGCAATATAATATAAAACAATTAGCATTTGCTTTAGTTTATGTTTAGCTCATTCAGTTATTGACCGATCGAGGCTATAGCTGCAACTATATATATATATATACGATATATATATATATATAGATAATCACTTTAGTTTAGTTCACGTATCGAATCAGGTTTCTGTAGTTGCCAATAGATTGTTAATTATTTCACACACACACACACACGCACACTCCTATGTCACATACATATGTGCATGTATGTAGCTAAGTTGTTTGACCAATTCAAAAGACGAACAATTGATGAGCTTTTATAAATAATTTGTCGCTTTGGAATATGTGTTTCATACGCAAGTTATGTGCATTTATCAACTAAAGCAAACGAATAACCAATAATAATTTATTAAGTCTAGTACATGCCACATTCGAGTACGTCTAGTTAGTGTTTAAGCCAAACACACACACACACACACACATAATTGAGAAAATTACAAACCAAGTAACCGAACCATACGAACAACATTTGATGGATCTATGAAAAAATTTGGTCGTATATGAATTTGAATATGGATCGAAAACGTTTTTTAGAAACAATTGATGCTGACAAACAAGATTGATAAGAACCCGTCCATAATTAGATTTTGTTCTTAAACAACAAAAATAAATTGTAGAAGAAGAAGAAGCAGAAGAAAATAAACAGCAAATCAACATATAGACGAATACGCATCGGCTCTATATAGCTATTAGATATAGTTGTCGGCGTTCGAAGCTCGTCTTAGATTAAAAGTTAGCTCCAAAAGCTCTCAACGTGTTTTTTTGCTTTCAACTCGAATTATATTATTGATATTTGTATAGAAACTTGGCAATTTCCATTCAAAACTCTAGCAAAAAAAAAATAAAAAAAATACACACTTGAAATTGTGGTTCGGATTGATATTAGATGTTTTTAATAATAAAACAAATACTAATTACGATATATTTACATACACAATGCAAAGAAAGAAAGAAAAATGAAGAAAAAATACAAACACATATTAAAACTAAACAACAACAACAACAAAAGTATACACTATATTTTATTAAATGCAAAATATTTCGAATGGATAAAAAATTAACCAAAAGAAAACAAAAATGTTGATGTGTGAAATTTATAAGACTAGCATATTTCCTACCTAAAAACGAAAAACAAAAAAAAAAACAAAATATACGTTATGAGATAGATATATATATATATATATACAGATTAACTAAAATTAACTAGCAGCTAGTGCTGAAGTCGTCGTACGCATTCTCACGATTCTAACTAAGATACAGAATATTGAATTTAAAACAAGCGTCTAACAAATTGATCGTACCTTTTTGCTGATTTAAAACGAAAACAAAGAAAATAAAAAAGTATAGCGAATACTTAAGTACATTCAATAAAAGTTTATACATACGACATATATAGCGTACATATATATATAAATATATATATATATATATATTGATGTGCATTAAAAAAATCTCTTGTATTTAGTGTGAAGCGTGATGCGAACGTAATCGAAACAATATGTTTTAAATGAATATACATAAATATATAACTAGTATATATATTGAATAGCTCGTAACAAATGCAAATAGATGATGGCACTTTAATGGGATTTGCTTTTTATATGTACGTATACATTCTGTACTTATATGTACTAGAGTTATCTGAAGATATATATCGCATATATATGCATCTATATATATATATACATATATATTTGAATGTGTGTGTGGGTGCGAACTTTTAGCATTAGTGTCGTCTTGCGTCGTTTCAAAAATCAAGAATTTAAATATTTTTATATGCGAAAATCGATAAGCGATAATCGATAAGCGTTAGTTGATAATCGATAAGCGATAGTCGATCATCGATAAGCGATAGTCGATAATCTATAAGAGATAGACGATTATCGATAAGCGATAGACGATTATCGATATGCGATAATCGATAACAATAGCCAATATACCGTAGTTAAAGGCAGCTGCTCTAGTAAGCATATTAAGAAAAATACCTAAAAAAAGATGAATATAAACCAAAGAACGATAATCAAAGCGCGCACACATAAACGTTTAGTCTAGATTTAAAGTTAAAAGTTAAACGAACATCACCTTTTCTTTGGGCACCAAGACTTATGCATACCATAAACTCTCTCTCACTCTCTCCATATATAGAGTTACATACGATTTCAACTTTTAGCATGTACCTAAGATTATAGCCATATTATAATAGTGTGTCCTAAATTTAGCCAGAGATTTTTAGATACTTAAGTGCATGGGTTAGACAACGAATTACCGGGTTAATCGGGATGAAATTGCACAAAACAAAAAAAAAACCAAATAATAATAATTAACATGTAACTAGTACATTCCCTGGGCCTTTACCCCCCCCGCATAAGCGAAAGTATACAATTATGTATTAATTAATTTCGATCACCAACGATGCGCACAGCTGATCCGGCAAGAATATGGAATTTGTTTGGATCGCCGCGCCAGCTAACTATCATACATATGGGATTATTGCTAGATCCAAGCCAACTCTCACCTATTCACAATGAAAGAACTTAACTTTTTGTAACTTATCGATGTGTACTGAATGTTTTTTACTTGGTGTCCTTTTTAAATATTTAAAATAATTAACTGAGAGTCTTAATGTAAGCGTTCAAATGAAATACTTATATATCAAAAACCAAGCACACCGATACATTTAGCATATATATATATATATATATATATATTTGAATATATATAACTATGGAATATGGTACATGGAATATGAATATGATAAGCGTTTAGTTGTATGCAAATCAAAAGAACATAATATATAATTATATATATATATATATATATACGACGTACTAACTAACGAGTTATATAACTTATCCAGATATGCGTACCTTTTTAAGCAACTAATTCGATGTTAATGTGAATTCTTTGATAGCAGAGCGAACATAATATATATATATATATGTGTGTATATCGATCGAACAGATATATATATATGTCTATGGACACGCCCCCTTTACTTGGTCGCGAGTATATATTCCGGGGGATTATGCAGTACACCGTCTCCAGACCAAAATAAATTGTAACACAATGAGCCGCAAATTTGTATTTATAAATATATCTATATATATATAGTATATATAGTAAGTCCCCGATGCAAACCAACCTATAACAATCGAGTTCCGATTTCAAAACAAACAAAAAAAAAAACGTTAAATAAACAAAAAAAATTCTAGAATTGTAAACGGCAAAAGCGCATTAAACACAAAACTCAAAACCCAAACGCGTTTAGATAATTGATAAAACCAAAAAAAAAAAATAATGTTTAAGAACTTTTGACTTTTATGGCTGTTTAGAGATTTTATAATACATATATATATATATATCTATATACTATATATATAATATTAACGGTATAAAACATAAACATTTTTCGTAAATTATTTACATAACGTAACACACACACACACATATGAATGTACTCAACACCCACACACACACACACGCACGCACACATAGAACACACATTTGCCCATAGAGAAAATTCCCCTTTTTTGCGGCCCCAACGAAGCAGCTGATACCCTAACTTTTGGCGCTGCGGGGCAGTCCTCAACCCGAACTCAATTTCTCTCGGAAATCACTTTTTCTCTTAATCTCTTTCTCTCTCTCTCTCCCCCCCTCTGTCTCTCTGTGTGTGCAACTGTCGGGGCTTTTCGATAGGCTCTGGCCAGGCAGTAAATCCCCTTTTTGTAGCGAATAGAGAAATGATTAAAGAATCAAGAAGAAGAAACATAAAACAAACGAAAATTGTGAAATTTAGTGTCTTTACACTTTAAAGAGTATATACAAAAAAAAAAAAACTAAAAAACTTAACTAAGTATAATTGAATGTAGATGATGGCTTCGGCGCCAATATTCGTATAAGCATAACTCACACAAACACACACATACATATTCACACAGACGGCAACCAATACATATAGACACACTCGCACACACACAAATACCACGATTACAAATACGTTCGCATACAAATTATGATACATACTCCGTACATATGCCTAAAAGGATAAACGTGTAGTAATCTACGACAAACAACAACAACAACAACAAAAACAAAACAAAACAAATAAATGTCTATATATATTACGTATATGGAAAATATAAAATACAAACGATTAAAACAGAAAAAAAAAAACAAATACTAAAAACAAAAACCAAAATTATCAAAAGATAAAAACAAAGTGTTTTAATAATGAAGGGCAAACGATTTTTAAGAATATTTAATTATATATTTATCTTATATTATAAAGATTATCAAAAGTAAGTACTTAGTACCCTGATCTAGGCTTATCGGTTTAATTTGTTAAGGTAAGGTTTTCCTACTGTATGTGTGTGTGCGTTAGTGTATGTATGCATGTATGTATGCATTTATGTATAAACGTATGTATACATGCATGTTTGATTTCTAATACCAAATGCAGTCCAAACTTATTTGTCGCTGTGCTGCAAATTTAAATGAAACGAATTTCTACTAAGTGCTCTCCTCCCCGCTTCTCAAGAACTCAAGTAGGCTTTGCTGAAACTCACCGAGGCAGGAAACGTTGGCTCCAAAGCCCTGTGGAGGAGCAATTTGTGGCGGTGGAGCAGGATGCAGTGGCGCAGCAGGAGGCGAAGGGGGTAAGTAGATATGTATGTGTAGATGATATATGTAGATGTATGTAGTTGTATGTAGATGCATGTATATGTATGCATGTATGCATGTATCTATGTATGTATGTATGTATGCATGTATGTTTGCATGCATGTATGTATGCATGCATGTGTGTATGTATGTTTGTATGTATGCATGCATGTATGTATGTATGTATGCATGTATGTATGTATGTATGTATGTATGTATGCATGCATGCATGTATGTATGCACGTATGTATGCATGCATGTATGTATGTATGTGTGTATGTATGTATGCATGCATGCATGTATGTATGTATGTAGTATGTATGGTATTGGTTAACATGCGTGTAAAAATTCCCATCCCCATAACTCAGTTAAATCTCAACCGATTTTATCGAGGTTTAGCTCTTTGTTCATTGTTTTTTAAATCACTAGAATTGGATGCCATCCATTACCGTATATGCTTAAGCGGAGTATTTAATTTCAGTCAAAAAAATGTACCTTAGACTTATAATACTGTTGACTTGTAGAGGTCCCTTGCTGCTTCAAGGTTAAAAATTGTCATATGTTTGTGAGAACTAAGCTAATTTTTATAATATGTAGCAATTGATTTGTAGTTTCTCCTTGAATTGGTATTGATGTCTAAAAAACTGAAACTCTTCTTATATTATTTTCCTAAAATTGTTGTGCTTGCTTTAATTTTGTTTCAGTAAAAAATAGATTGTCAAATGTTTTTAAAGGAAATCTACTATAGTAGACGATGTAAGTTCAGTCTGCAAAATTCCAAATCGTCTTTAGTTTGCTTACAGAATCCACAAATATTTATTAGATTACCAAACAGAAAAGGAAACGACAACAGTACTATAATTGTCTATGGTGATATATTGTAACGTAGCAATTATTTTCCATAGATTCCGATAAGTGAGTAGCTCCGTAATCTTCGCGCCCCGTTAGCTGCAGAGCGTGCTCCTAAGTATTTATACGGCTCTATGTTGTTGTTAAAGTTGATCATGGGCCAAACATTATCTGAACCGGTCACCACCAAGGATTCGGCGCGCTGCGCGAACTCCTCCTTTCTAGTGGGCAGCAGCTGTATGCAGGGCTGGCGCATCGAAATGGAGGACGCCCACACACATATACTATCGCTGCCGGATGATCCGGCCGCCGCCTTCTTTGGTGTCTACGACGGGCATGGCGGAGCGGCTGTGGCCAAGTTTGCTGGCAAGCATTTGCACAAGTTCATTACCAAGCGGCCGGAATACTTTGGCAGCTCCGTGGAGCTGGCCATGAAGCGTGCCTTTCTTGACTTTGACCGCGAGATGCTGCACAACGGCAGCTGGGGCGAACAGATGGCCGGCTCGACGGCCATTGTCGTCCTGATCAAGGACAAGCGTCTGTATTGCGCCAATGCCGGCGATTCCCGTGCCATTGCCAGCGTGGGCGGCATTGTGCGTCCCCTGTCCGTCGACCACAAGCCCAGCAATGAGTCCGAGGTGAAACGCATCGTGGCCGGCGGCGGTCGCGTGGAGAACAATCGCGTAAATGGCAATCTGGCCTTGTCGCGGGCACTCGGCGATTTCATGTACAAGCGTAACACCAGCAAGAAGCCGGAGGAGCAAATCGTTACAGCCGATCCGGATGTGATGGTCTGCGACATGGGCGACGATTGGGAATTCGTTGTGCTCGCCTGCGATGGCATTTGGGATGTGATGAGCAGCACCCAGGTGGCCGAGTTTGTCCGCGAACGAATCGCAGTCGGCATGCAGCCGGATCTGATATGCGAGCATCTGATGAGCTATTGCCTGGCGCCGAATGCCTACAACTATGGCCTTGGCGGCGACAACATGACCGTCATCCTGGTCTGTATGCTGCACAACAAGTCCTACGATGATCTGATCATACGCTGCGGCGGCACCAAGAGTTCATCCCTTGAATCCGGCGTGGGCGACATTGGCCCACCTCTTAAGGTATGTGGAAACTGTAATTCTTTTTTTTTTTTTAAATAATATAGTTATCTGTATGGGGGCATTGGGTTAGTATCCATTGCCCAAAGCTACTCCAAGCAGCCGCAACCTGGAGAATGCCTAACTGGGCATCTTATGGATCGGGGATTTGCAGACTTTGTTTATTTGTTTATCGATTCGAATTCTTTTGGCATGCCATTTTCTGTGAAAGTTTCATCCATTACCGACATATACTTTTTGTACCTACCATATATATATATTATTGGCTTCGAGATACATGAGCCCCGGCTCAGCCCAATCACAGAAGATTAAAAATTTCAAGTCGGATATGCTTTTAGTCAACCGTTCAACAGTTCAACAATTCAAATGCAATAAAAATCTTGACCTCAGCCAAAATGTTTATTTCAAAGAGTATTTTAACCAATCTGAACGCTAGATGGCGCTTTTTTCGTTATGATATGGTAATCTAATTCTGTGGAAAAACTTTGTCAAATACTCTAATAGAAACTCGACCGATTGTTCCTTTTGTATCTTTGTCAGCTATACTATATGGTTTTTCGTTTCTGTTCTAAATTTGATCGTTTGGTGTTTAATTTGGTTGAATGCAGCAAAGGATTTCAGCTATCGATTTTATTGTCGATTCATCTTTGCTTTGCAAGCTATTTGGCAATTAAATCCAGCCTTCTTCTGTATCAAAATTATCAAATAAATACCTTTTAACATCTCTCATTTAGCTTATATAGTGCAACAATAATAAGATCAGAGCTAGGTTTGGTTATTGATTCCCCCTTGCTACTTGCACTGAACCAGTAAAAAGATATACACCGGTTCGGCATGCGGCTTTGCATTCTTCTAGGCAACTCGTTTGAAGGCTCGGGCTCCGATAGAAAAGTTTCAAAATCGATTTGACGAAAAATCGTAAAAGTGGCCACTGATAAAAAAAAATAGAAAAATTCGACATATTTCTCATTTTCAGGGATCGGTGGATCACTCGTTTAATTTGAATAAATGTGCGTTTCTATAATACATAATGTACTCTATATGTCTATGAATACATATACATATTCATGTACAATATCTTTGGTCTGTTTTAGCTGTAGGTTCTGTAGAGTATACAAAATGCAGTGAGTCGAGAAAGAAAAGCAAAATATAAACAATACAAGTAATAATACAAAGAGCTACAAGAGAAATACACATAAATTTACAAAATAATCGAAACACTTGACAAATATACAAAATATATAGGCATCTATCTATATCTATATATATTTATATATATATATATATATATATATATATATATATTTGTATGTGTGTAAAGTTTTTGTGTGTAGAGGCTAATTAGTGTTATGTCAATTATTATTGCACCACATGCGGCCGTAAAGTGCTTAAAAATAACGCGACACATGCATCGAATACCGCACCGACCCCGCGATTACTCTACCACCAAAATGAAGGGGGGGGGGGGGTTCGGAGGCATGAACGGGGGTCAGTGCGTTCGGCACACGCTGCATTTTAAAGATACAAGACTAGAGATTCGCTCGTTCTTGGACTTCCGTGCAGATGCAGGAAATCGCAATGCCTTAAACAAAAGAATTCTTCTTCCTTTTTGTTAAACGTAATTGTTCGTATTTGGTAAGTAATATATGGCAAAAATAATATGTATATATATATATGTGTGTGTAAATTCTAAAATCAGCGACTCAATTAAATCATACAGTGCATAAAAATCGCATATATACATATATATGTTGTCTCTCTCCCTATATATATACATATATATATATATATATATGTGGTCTAAAAGAAAAAAATACTGGTTACATGTTTTTTCTGCAAGTCTCTAAATCCTCGTTACAACTAAGTGTAGATCGATCAATTAATTAAGTTCTGTCAACTGATGTAATTATTATTATTTGTTTTTTTTTTTCTTTCTTTGGAATCGACTACTCCCTAACGGTACTTTAGCTCTTTTTTCATATTTATCACATATTTGTTTACTACAATAAGCTCCTAAAAATCGAATGCAAAATGGGTTTTTTTCTTTTGTTATTGTTTTTGGTTTGTTTTCTTGTTAATATTTGGTTTTTTTTTTTTTTTTCAAATTTCTGTAAATCTCTCTCTCGCTTGTCTTTTTACAATCAGCTGGCAGGCTGGGGTTGTCTAGGCGACCATCGCATAGTTGCCGGTCAGCTCGAAGGGACTCGTCTTGGCCGAATGCGTGAAATTGTTCTTGGGCGAAAAGTCAACGGGCTGCTCCTGATCCGCCGCCGCCGCCGCCGCCGCCGCCGCCTCGCTGCCTGCCGACTGTGCCCCGGCATGTCCATAGTGCTGATACGGCAGACCCAGGGGCAGTGGCAGCGGCAGCGGCAGTGGCAGCAGCTGCTCCTGGTACAGCGCACCGGGATGCTGCAGCACGGTTGTCGGCTGGAGCATGCCGTTGCGCTTGTAGCTTTCGTAGTGCTCCAGGTGGGCGGCAAATGCATCCGCATGCCCAGCAGCTGACGGATAGCCATAGGCCAGCGCAGCCTGTGCCTGAGCTTGAGCTTGGGCCTGAGCCTGGGCCTGTGCTTGTCTGCGTTCCTTCTCCTTCTGCAGCAGCTTGTGCGCCAGCGTTGACTTGGCCGAATCCGGCAGAGATGTGCTTGTTGTCGTTGTTGTTGCTGCTGTCGCCTCCAGTTCCGGCTGCTGCTTGGACATGGAGATCAGCTGCGCGGCACGCGGCGCCGCCTCGCCGCGATTCTTCATGCAGGAGGACTCCTCGTGCTTGTACAGATACGACTTGAGGGCAAAGGCCTTGCCGCAGCGGGCGCAGGTGTGCGGCTTGGTATTTGAATGGGTTTGTATGTGGGCGCGCAGATTCGATTTGTCCGCAAAGGCCTTGCTGCAGACGCTGCACTTGAAGGGCTTCTCGCCCGTATGGGTGCGTATGTGGCCCTGCAGCAGCCAGGGCCGCGAAAAGCACTTGCCGCAATACTGGCACTCGCAGCCCTGGTTGTGGGTGCGCACATGCATCGAGAAGGCCGGCATCGAAACGTACACCTTTTCGCAGTAGGGACAATGTCGCGCCTTCTTGTCCATAATTGACCTACGGTTGGAGGAGCGAAACAAAATTTGTTAAAACAAAATTTGAATAGTTTTACTTGAAGATCAAATACCCTTGCATGAATATGATATGATTTTCGATGTGAGTCAAACAATATGGTTTTTTTTTTTTCATAAAAGAACTACAGTTTTTTAGGATTTCCTTCTGCTTCGAATGTGGCTCAGTTGAAAATCCTTGAATCTACTTGAATCTCTTGTTTTAAACCTATGTTTGTCATCTTTTTCTACAGTTCTATAGATACATATTTTTGCTTAAGATTTGACGTTTCTTTCGGTTTTATTGGAAAATAAGTATTGAAATTCTGGGTTTGAGCTATCGCGTTTGAAATGTTGGTTCAAACCGAGTTGCAAATGGGCTTTCAAATAGTTGTTGCTGGCGACTTACCTGTGGGTTTGTCTATGGCGCGCCAGATTGGAGGATGTGGAATACTTTTTGCCGCACTCGGGGCAAATGTGCTCATCTTCAAGCAAATTGCTGGCGGTGCTGCTGTTGCTGCTGCAGTGCGTAGCCTGGTTGGGCGACTGTTCGCTGGACTGGCAGCTGCTGGTGCTGGTGATGCTGGCGCAGGAATTCGAGTCGGAGATGGTGCAGCGACGCAGTTTCCTGCGATCGAACACCTTGTGGCTGTACGAATTGTAGGTGGAGTCATCGTCGGATGAGGCATAGAATATGCTGCTGTTGCTGCTGTTGCTGATGTTGTTGTTGTTGTTGCTGCTGTTGCTGCTGTTGCTGATGTTGTTGTTGTTGCTGCTGCTGGGCATTGGCTTGCTGTAGGCCACAGTTTTGGCTGGTGCGCTGAGCGGTCCGGCCGCCAGTGTCACATCGGCCAGCTGGGTGAGATTGTACAGCTCCTCGGGTATGGGCGTCGCCTTCCTCATGTCTGCGTCTGCAAAACAAAAGAGACAAACTGCGACATCAGTATTGGTTTCGATGTGCGGCTCGGGCATGACGTATGGGCCAGAAAGGTGAAGCAACCTGCTAAATGCGCCACGGATGCGTCATTAACAAAGCGACGATGACAGCCACACGGGCGAAATTTAAATCAAAACAACAACAACAACAACAACAACAGCAACAAATTCTAAAGATTATAAATATTTTCGCTATGTCGCAGACAAAACTAATACATAATTTAATGAGCTCTCAGCATTTTGGTTGCCCTGCCCAGCTGCCGGGCATAACGCTGCCCGAGCACAGCCTGTCGCAGTCGTATTGTGTAGGGTATAGGAAAAGCGTATATTTCATATTTATTTCATCAATTTATAATTAAGGACAAGCCAAGAGGCCAACGTGGCTGTGCCCAAAGTCGTTGCTGCATTCAGCGTCGTCACCTTGTCGTTTGCCTGAGGTTGCCGTCGCCTCCGCCTCCGCTGCTGCTGCTGCCTGCCTGCCACACGGGGCGTATGATTAACGTCAGCAGGCATCGGCATCAGGCACCGGCATTTGCAATCGCACTTGTTGGCTGCTCGCTGTTCGCGATCTTAGAAATAAATTCACGTCGAAATGCGCATAATTTGTGCATGTTGTCTCGGCATTGATTAATCTCGCACGTAATTGCCTCCCCTAACAGCACAGCCCACCTTCACACAAACCTGCCCACCTGCCCATGCTCTAAACTGCAGACAGGCAGGTGGAGCGTCATCTATATTTATTATATAATAAAATAATAAAGAATCTAAACACTTCGCACTGGCAGCTAAGCTTAGCCCGGCTCTTACAACAGATTGTTGACTGCTCCGTTTCCTGAACTCGACTTGAGTTATTTTCCTTTGAATTAAGTAAATAAATATATATATTTATATATTGTATTCCAAAAATTGTTATCCTCTTCATCTACTTTAAATATTGGCTTGGAGAGACAAACTGCGAATCCCAAACAGATCGAATAGACTTTCATCTAAAATCAATATATATTTTATTGAATTCAAAATATTCTCTTTTCAAATTTTGGAACATTTTTTGTTCTAAATTATATTTAAAATATATTTTATATTTTTTCTATATATATTTGTTTTGGTACAGTCAGGTGTTAATTGACCCTATCAGAAATTTCTTCCCCCATTCCAGTAATATCTTAAATATTTCAGTTGTTTCTTTTTAGTTGTTTATTTTTGGGATTTTAGTGAACATTTTGTTGCGTATTTGTTATATTTTCTGTGTAAAAATATAATTGTGAACATTCCGTGAATTGGCCAAAGGGCAGTTTCATCACCTGCATACCCTATAATAAACGCAACCATAATCAATTGGCCAGGCAATCAAATTTTATATTTCCGATCGCACTTCGCTGTTGTTTATTGTTGAAAGTTTTCTCTTTACTTTTTCGTAATCGTCTAAATAATCGATTATTTCGTATGGCCGCAACAACAAGAACAACAGAGAGGGAAGCGTGTGTGGGGGTGGGTGTATGGGGTCTTTGTCTTGGGAATGTACGCGTTGCGGAGGTCATGTGCGCGTTTGCGTATTGTTTGTTTTTCTTTTGCTTTCTTGTGCGGCGGGGACCTGAGGCCGGCCGCGTGATGTGGGCGTGGCTGCACCTTCCCCGCGAAAAAACCAGCCAGCCAAGAAATAGAAAAGTCGCTAGTTGGGCAGCTGGGCTGGCATTTGGCCTAAACACATCGAGCTGCCAGACTTTTGCAACCTGTTGCCTACTTTTGGCTTCCCATTCTCGTATTTGTTGTTGTTGTTGTTGTTGTTGCCTAAATAGTTGTTCTTGCGGTTGCCGAAAATGTTCGCAACGATTTAGATTCGCAGAGTACATCAAAATGTTTGTGGTCATAAAACTTGTGGCTGGATGTGCGCGCAGCGGCAGGTGGCAAAGTATGTGGCCGCTGCCCCCGCTCACCTCAGACGCCTACGCCCATGAAAATTTCCCATCTAAAACAGCCCATCAATATTGGCTATGATGTATGCGAGTGGGAGAGCTGAGATCCGTACCAGACATATAAGTATGTGTAAATTGTGCCTTTAACATTTATTTATACTTAATAATCGGCGGAGGCGCCCCCCCCATTGACATGCCGCAACCACCTGGTAATTTTCCCCGATTTAACCAGCATACCTGTTCCACAGAAATTTCAGCTAAATTATTTATAGTATTTTGACCAACAGCGATATTCCTCTGAAATTTGTTTTTGTTGTGGTTTTCTTTTCTGTTTTTCTGTTGCCAATTTTTGATACCGAAGTGGCCAAGACACAAAATGGAAACAAAGCTGACAAGTGGGAAAATTTTGGTGCTTTTCGCGAAGACCTCCCCAAAAATGCTGGGCGAGGGACATGTCTGTGTGCAATGTTTTCTATGTCACACGAATAACGAAAAGTCCGAAAGTCGCATGTTTCTCTGACAGGCCGTTAATTAATTATTCGTTGGCCCGTGCGCCGATCGCAGTTCCCAGGCACAGATCGCAGATCGGTAATCGCATATGACATCTCAAAGAGCAGGAAAAGCAACAGCAGCAGAACTGCAAACGTTAATTGGTGCAGGCCTCTGGAAAGTGGCATTCAACGGAGGGGAATGGGGCATGTAACATGTGGCACATGTTGCTATATTCAAATCGAACCGCATTAATTTGGTTTAGACAATTTGATGCTGATTATAGTCGAATTTAAGTGTCATTCAATGCTTTATGGCTGCTTTTGATACATAAACAACTTTATGAGCTTAACTTATTTGCAGCAGTTGAAAAAATGTTAGCAAATCAGCACATCGTTTACGAATAAGACACAAAAAGGAACAAGCGATTAAATGTGCTCTAGAGAAAATGAGTTACATCAATGTGAGTGAAAGTCAATTGTTTAAGAACGAGACACAAAGAGGAATAATCGATCAATTGAGCTCTCGAGAAAATGAGTTATAACAATGATTGTGATAGTCAAACGTTTACGAACAGGACACAAAAAGCACTCAAAAATTATGTGTGCTGAAAGAAAGAGAGTCAATATGCATTTGTATTCGCACCATGACTTAAATTCGCACCAACAGATATTAATTTTAGGATTTAAAATCTATTAAATATGATTTTTATAAAACAAGATCGTGTCTGCTTAACTGCACAGCATTCATATCGTATATATTTAATGCTCAGCTGTGCTTGCAACTTGTCGTATATCATCTTTTATAAGCCCAAATAATCGCAACTCGTTTATAATATTGTTCTATTATGGCCACAAGACAACGTATTTAAATTATTTACCACATGCTGCCTCTCATCAACTGGGCCCCCATAGCATGAACCATCCAAAAGTGTTCCGAGTGCATTCTGTAAACGCAACGCACAATGGACATGAAAATGCTTTTCTGTCTTTTCTTTTCTGTTTTTTTTTTTTTTGTATTTTTACGGGTAAGAATCTGCGCAAAATGCGCGCGGCCCGAAGAAAGTTCAAAGTCCTGTTAATGTACACAAAGCAAAGAAATGTTAATGGCTGACGTGGAGGCGGGGGCGATGGCGTTGCCAGAGGAGGAGGAGGATGAGGAGGATGAGGCGGCGGCGGCTGGCGACAGCGTTGGCCTCGGTGGCCTTTACCAACGGCCGGTGGCTGCGTGCCACGGGATCGAATGCGCGTTTGGACTATTTATAAACCACAGCCAGGGCAGGAGAAATGCGCATAGTTTACATTTAAGTTCAAACTTGAAAATAAATGCACACATGCACAATAAACAAATGTTGGCCCCGCCTAGACGTGGCAATGCGGCGCCTGCTGTGCTGTGCCGGAGTGTCAATGCCAGGACTTGCCCACACCCCCCACCACTCCGCCAGCCCCTTCTGCATAGAATGCACAGCAACATCGACTTCCTGAATACCCTGGCCCCGTGCAAGTTGATCTTTTTGTTTATAGCTCCATCAACGCCGGACTCATTTGCCGTCGTCGTCGCCGTCGCATTGGGCACATGTTTACGCCACCTAATTATAAACAATATCAGTCCGGGCCAACGGGACACAAAGGATCTCAGTGCTATTTAGGTGGAAGTCAATGTAAATATCACATCAGTTGGCACCGACTTTTCTGGTTTACCTGTTTAATTTACCTGTGGCATGTGACTAACTAAGGTCTGCAGGCTGCAGTTAGATTATATATACTACAAATTATCAAACTAACCTAGCCCAATCTTACCTGTATCTAAATGTGTCTATCTCGTTATCCGTCTATCTATCTATCTAACTATTTATATCTATCTATCTTTATCTTTGGTTGAGGGTTCGAACCTGCTTGTTCGGCTGCCTGCATGACTGGGATTTTATTCACTTGGAAAATTTTTGTTCTTCAACACTTTTCCTGAAATTCTACGCAGTTTCTTCCGTCATAACGACGCATTTTGTACACTGCATGACTTGGCTGAAAATAATTGGCCATATTACATATATGTATATATATTTATACTATCCAAACTGTTTACGCAACTAACTAGAAAGAGAAAGCATATGCAAATTGTCAACAGCTCTTTGGCCATTTGGTTTGTTGTTGTTGTTGTTGTTGTTGTTGTTGTTGTTGTCGTTGCAGGGCAGTTGATGGCTGCATCCATCTGCTTGGCCCGATCATTGCCAATGCAAACACATTTCTCACGTAAATGTCAAAATATCAAAGAAATCATAATATTAATTTAACAAGTGCGGTCAGAACTCTCCCTCTCTTTCGTTTTCCCTCTCGCTCTCGCACTTTGCGGGTTGTCGAGGCGATAATTTAAAGAAAAAATGTGCTCATGTGCCAACATTCGTCTTCAATATGTATAAGAATAGCCGCGGGGTGGACAAGATGATAGCAGAAGGGTTGCGTATTGGAGCAATTGTGTAATTCATAGACGAGTTAGAATGCTGGGCATGCCCACTAAAACATAGGATATACACCCAATTTTAGATACAATATAGTTGCGAATTATCAATCCAGCTATTTAATATGGCACTAGCTACCTTGACCTAAGACTACATCCTGGGACTCGAACCCGAATGTACCCTTTTCAGTTTTAGTTAAAACTACTCGAGTCATTTACTCGAACTATGCGGTTCGAATGCGTACTCACCCTAGCAACAGCGAGTGCTGTGGATCAGGAAACGAATCCGTGAGAGACCCCCTCTGCGGGAGGTTAACTGACTGAAGCGTGCTCAAGCGGCGCCGGTCCAATGGGTTGAATATATGTATGTTGCTTGGCTCGCAATGCGAACTGATGATTCAGCCAGAATATGTTTGGGTGTCGATGCGAAATCAATAATATATCACCACGCACTACACCCTGCCCCTCCCTCTTGTGGGCCTACAGCCTCGCTGTCAGAATGTTCTTGCTCGTTGTTGCGTCTGGGCTACACGTATTTCACGAAATTTCATCACAAGCAAGGAACAATAACAAAAGAACTGTGCACCAGATACAAATACAGATACAAATTGAGATACAGCTTCAGATACGAGATACAAGTAATGCACAAGTGTTTTTGGCCCGACTACTGATCCGATCCTCACCAATTGCTATACGGATCACAGGCAGGCGGCTGGCAGGCAATGTTGTTGCACGGTACGCGCGCTCTCTCGCACTCTCTCTCTCTCTCTCTCTTTCTATTTAATACGAACGCAACGAGATCTCAGAAAGAACTGAACTTTCACGGCGCGGGCACTTACAGTTTTTACATCGCTGCTGCCGTCGAGGAGGTGACGATGCCGACGCCGGCGTCGCCGACGACAGCCGACAGCCAGCAGCTGTTTAGCCGAGGATCGACCGAATGCGTCGCGGAGAGCGTCGCGGATGCGCGCCCCAATGGAACAAGTGTGTGCGGTTTAAAAATAAATTGAAAATAATGTTTTTATTATACACGCTCTCTCGCTCTGTCCAAATTTTGCTCTCGCTCTCTTGCAGCACATTTTCCAAAAGGGAGCCAAGCACACACACACACACACAGACATTTTCGCCGTGCTGCGGGCAAGGACCACTGCGCAGAATATTTTTCTAACGCAGCGTCAAGTTGGCAGCCAGTGTCAAAAACCTCACAGATCGCCGATGCCCCCATGCCGCATCAAACCCTAACCAAAGCGACGGCGACGGCGAAAGAGCGAGCTAGACAGAGCGAGAGAGAGAGAGAGAGAGAGAGAGAGAGCAGCAAACGCAGCACTGCGGTTGGCAGCTTTTGCCGGTTCGGATTCGAATTCTGGGGCCGTTGATGGTGACGCAGTCGGGCAATTTGGCATTTTGAAATGGCTTTTTGTACTTTGGTGTGCCCATCCAAAATAGATTCGCTCACCTGCCGCAGTTACCCCCAGCCCCCACCTCCCCTCCCATGACTGGCCAATCCCTTTTCAAACGAACGGATTCCTCACAGGTGTTGTCGGCAGTTCTCAACATTTGACTTGCTCAAGCGTAATGAACTTAATGTCGCTCTGTCAGGTGTGTTGCCGCGGCAATGGGTCTTTGGCGGGGAATTGGGCATCGCACTTACCTATTTGCCATATTCTATAATCATACCGTATTCTACTTGATTTATGTCTCTTCTATGCACGTTGTTGTCGCCTTGATTCGGTTCTGGTTCTAAGTGGATTTTGTTGTTGTTGCCCCGAGATTTATGTAGCTGCAGTTGCAGTTGCACGCATTAAATATAGAAAATATTGAGCGATCGTAGACAATATTTCTTGGTCAATAACAATTTTAACAATAATTAATAACAATTTCGTGCTGCTTTCGTCGCATATAAAATCTATAAGACATCCTTATTTATTATAGCCGACCAATTAGGCTTTTAAAAGTAAAGGATCTTGAGATCTGCGCGGGGTTTATCAATACTTGAATTGCTAAACACTACTCAAACTCAATCATTTTTATTATCGATATGAGTTATTGATTATTATGAACTCTGCTCTAAATGCGTATAACAGTCGTATAACACAGTTAGTTAAGCTTTGCAAATTGGGCCGTGCTATCGGATTTGATCGCCATTTTCGCACTTCTGCGACCTCGGCCCACGCAATTTCGCAACAAAGAAAATGAACTGGATGAAGATAAAGATGTGCGATCCACAGCTGAAGGCGTTGTCTGGCGCGGACATGGAAATGCAATTTGAATGCCATAGGGTCAAGTTGGGCCAAGAAAATGGCAAGAGGGGCGACAAAGCGCCGACGTGCGGACGCAGTGGTTGGAGGAGGAGATGGACTCTTTGTAGGGGTAAGCAATGTGACATGTGCTAAAGACATACGCGGCAGTTGACTTTGACTTTAATCACGGCAATTAATAAGAGAGCGAGAGAGAGAGAGAGAGAGAGAGTGAGAGAGCAGCGCAGAACTCGCCTCGCCCGGCACAAAGGAAGGAAGTGACAGCCGGAGAGTTCACGATAAGCCAACGCCTCAGCTGTGGCAAGCATCACCCAGAGCGCTGCGATTCTCAAAAACCGACGCGACTGGCGGCCATAAATCTATTTTGGTCCTTTGCTGCTGCTCCTCCAGCAACCGATCTCCCTCCAGGGGCCGGGGGCTACCACACTTGCTGCGCAATTGCAGTTGCAGTTGCAGAAGCCGAGTCTCTTTTTTTTATTTTTAAATTGCTTGCGATACATTTTTGTGCTGGGCTCCAACGGTTCTTTGCGTAGGTAAAATGCAGCTGGAGATGCGGCTATAAATTCCGGCGCTTTTCCAATTATTTACACAGATAAATAAGCGAAATCGCCTTAATGTGAAATTCAACAGGCAGACAAATAAGAAAAAAAAGAAGAAGCAGAAAAAAATGCTCGAAAAAAAAGAAGCAAAATACTTTGCATTTCGCTTTTGTGTAAATAATTTTATAATCGATTTCAAATGAAAGTCTTTAGCTTGCGGTTCCATAAATTATCCGTTAATCTCTTTCGAATTGCTCAGAGTTCGTTGCGTTCCCATATAATTGCCCCCTCCCCCACCCTTCCCCTTCAGGCAACAGCCCGCGCCTTTGGACCACGTGATGGTCAAATTGATTTTCCTAGTAGATTATCTAGCTAGATCTTCGATCTTTAGCTGCTCAAGTGTTTGCCATTTCGTCACCCAATTCGAGCAGCGCGTCCTGTTTACAGGAATCGTCTTGTTGTTTAAATTACGGACAATTACTCAAAACATTGTTTAGATCGGGAGGCAGCGTATTGCTCTGGGTGATCCGTAAAGTGGTCGCCCTCGAGCCCCTTGAGCTGGGCCGGATATGCTTGTAATTCCTGCGCCAGATCGGAGATGCGCTCGAAGTCGGGGTCGCCTTTTAAAGAGGCAAAGCTGAAAAAAGAGAACTACATCATAAAGTTCTATTTATAAGGCGAACGCCAAGTTTTGATTCGGTGTCGGACTTCAATTGGGGGAGTTGTCGTGGGACAGGGGGGGGGGTGTCCAAATGTGCGCCGGCTAAATTTGAATTTGAAGTGCAAGTGAAGCGACCAAAGATTCCATAGGTGGCTGCCACTTTACGCTAGGCAACAGGCGCGGACGGGTTGCCCCCCCCCCCCCCCCTGTTTGGCCTGTGCCACCGCCACTTGAGTGGATCGGAGGGGGAAGTCAGCAATAGCACGCGTCAGGAAAGAGTGCAATGCATCTGGCAACCTGCAGCCGCATCCAGAAGCATGGCAAAGATACGCATGGCGGGCATGTATGCGCACACACACATGGATACATACATGTGCACACATACAACCATACAGCTGCCGTGTTAAAATTCAAAGAAACAAAAGCGGAAATGTTGTTGTTTTCTTTATTTTTAACAGCAACAAGGCAAGAACTAAAACAAAAACATCATCCACATCATCATCGCTACTGGATGATTTTATATGGCAATTGAAATGTTTTGGTCATTGAACTTACGTCTTGAATTAGATGTATCAGTGGCGACTGTTGTTATAAGTTAATATGTGCCTATAAGTTACATACATACATAAACATACATATATTATTGTAGTTTTTGAACTGTCGGCAATTGCGTTGCCAACTACATGCATTCAAGTAACACTGGCAATCGTATAACAGCCCTGTCCATCAGTTAACAGTGTCAACTGTGCATAACAGTCTGTTAAAAATTGTTAACTGCTTTCACAAAATTTACGTACAAAAATAACTTTATTTCAGTAAATACTCTACTAATCTACATCCGGATCTATTAAGAAATTTTTAAAATTATTATTTATAACATAATAATTAATAGTAAGCCACAAGATCGTCATCGATCCGCTTTGGGAACCGCGAGCACCTGACAAGCATAATTGGTACTTTAATTATTTCTGGTTTGATTTTATACAACAAAATTAATACTCTGCCTTCTTCATTCTCTTGTTTTGTCTCATCTGCTGGCTCTGCTTTTGGCTGTTCATTTCGCTCTTCCTTTGCCTCTTGTTTTGGCTCATCTTTTGGCTCAACTTTTGGCTCATCTTTTGGCTCTTGTTTTTGCTCCTGTTTAACTTCTCTTATGCCATTAAAAACTTCAAATGTATATCCTTTCGATATACAGAATGCCAGCGCAGTGTTATCAATTACAATTTTCCCAATATCATGACAGAAAACTGTGGGTTCATCAGTGTATTCATACCTGGTTCTTTCGGCTACATCTCTAGCTATTTATACATATATATACATTCAAAAATAGGTAAATAAGTATACTGATGACATGTTCATGTAACATATTTAGTCAATTACATGAATGTACATTATTGAGCATTACCATTGTAATAGTATGATTTTCTTCGTTGATTTAACTTATGTTCGGGTTGCCTTTTTATTTTTAACAACACGTCTTCTTACTGCTAGTACTGTCGAGAGACTGCCTTCCACTTCCTCTCTGCAGCCGCTTTTCTTTATCGATATTTACTTATCGTACTGTTATAATTAACATAGATAGTGACACTATAATACCCTGGCTAGGGTTACCAATGATGCTCTTATCCTATTACAACTCGGCCATCCTGACAAAGAGAGCTCCCGATCTCTGTCTTTTATATGTGTATCTATCTTTATAACTAATGCTTATTGCCTATTTTCGCATCCAATGCTTAAAGTTTTGGCTATTCCAGATACCAACGTACGGGTTGCGAGATAATTGAAAGCCTTCTACATCCTTTAACAAGTATCTATCATTTTTTAAAATCTTTTCTATACTATAAGGCCCTTTATATCTTGGTATTAACTTTTTTGAAACTCCTGGTGTGCTATCAAAATTTTTTACCATGACATAGTCACCTATTTTATATTCTACTGATACTTTCTTCTTTTTATTAATCCGCTCTTCATTTCTGATTTGAGCTTCTTTTTGATATATTTCTCCACTCTTTCTTATATTTTCTAAATTTCTTTTATCACACGTGTTCACCTGTGTAAACTCTTCTAATTTTTCTTTTAATTCATCAACAACTTTTCCTTTCTGTTGTAATCCGAATAACATTTCGCTTGGAAATTTCTTTATGCTTTTGTGTTGTGTGTTGTTTATTGCATATTCAACATTTTCTATAATAACATCCCAATGTAAACCATTTTCTGGCTCCGCCATTTTTGCCATCATCGGACCCAAGTCTCTATTCAACCTTTCCACCTGACCATTTGCTTGCGGACAACCCGTTGCTATTTTAATATGCGTTACTCCCTCATTTTTTAAAAATTCATCAAA